GAGGCATGGATATCAGTTAGCTTTAAGAAAGACAAAGTTTTTCAAAAGATACCCCCCATCTCCAAATCAGTGTTTTTTAGAAAAGTGATCAAAACAAGATCTCAGCATTGACCTATTAACACGGGTCAACCTTCAGATCCCTCATACGTTGCTTCCTGAAGTAAAGGAGGAATCCGTATTTGTTCCTTGGCATCTACAAGGCTGCTAAACAAGCATGCCCACTCCCACAGTTGTTTTGACAGTAGATGCATGAAAATCATTTGGAAACGAGACCAATTATTTTCAGAGCCACACAGATATAGAACAAGCAGGCAGAATCAGTAATCCAAGTATTACAAGCTCCCGTAACTCACCATCACATCTATAAATAAAAATCCTCATGTTATGTCAGTTTCAGCAAAAAAACTACAGATGAAAATATGGGCAATGACTTCATGTGACTTATTCCAGCCGTAAGGATAGAGGAACGAGGTCTTCATTTGGAAAGTCTGACAACTCCATACAATGTGGAAATTTTTCCTCTTATGAGCAAAACCATGCATTACAAGAAATTGCAGGAGGTTAAAAAAGAGCATCAATAAGTTGAAACATGTTGAAATTAAACTTTTAATAAAAGGAAGGCAACAACAAACCCACTGTTGAGACAACAACACAAGAAACTGGAACCTAGACACAAGTAACACTCCACTGACTTTTCACCATCCAAGAAGAGATAAATGTAGAGCATAAATTTCATTAAAACATGAGACATAATAGACATAGGTTATCAATAATGTAGATAAGCTCATTCATAGTGTGTAATTTTTACACTGTAAATACAGGTTCCAGTAGAATATTAAACCCAAGACAAAATGAGACCATGGTTGACTGAGACATGGAATTTGCTACTGCAGAGACATCATGTTTTAAGAACAAACACTCATTAAACCGAACTAGAACTCTTTCAAGCAACTGGTTTTACAGAAAGGGTAGAGTCACAATGCTTCCAACCTGATACCTGGTTGCAGCAGCTTCCGACACAGGAAAAAAAAGGAAAAAAAAAAGACCCTTATGATCCCTTATGGTTCTTACAGCTAAAAAAAAATAAAAATCCCTGTATGTCAGCATGCTAACAAAAAAATTGCTTTGTGGAAGAGCATCAGAACAGGATCAAAGAACCTGGGCTCAAGAAAACTGCTTAGAGCTCTACATGCTCCTAACAACTATCAGGGTGCAAGTCAGCCAAAGTGAAGAAAACAGACAACTTTGTCCTTCTAGCACAGTTTCCACCTGCCACTATGCTTGCCCTCAGAAGAGGCAGCTTTCCTGGGGGGTCATCTAACAACTGACCACCACAAGACTGACCTTTCCAAGTACAGAGTTGTATCTTCCCTAGCGCAGGCGGGTTGCTAGACTCCCTGCTCTGTGCCCCACGTTAAACAGCAGCCGCCTGAAAGCCAGCAAAGCACTGCGAGGTGCTCAAACGCTGTAGCGCAATGTAACGCTACAGCGAATGCAGCTCTTCCTCCAAAAGCACGCAGTCGATTTCCTCCTCTTGAGGAAAGCAAGTGTAGCAAGGTAGCTCCGGCTTCCTGCAGAAGCAAACCTGGCTACAGGGGATCCTAAAACAAATGCTCCGGGTCTATGCCCGTGCGGGCGTTTCGTGGCTCCCTCACACAGCTGCCAGCTGGAGTCACGATGGCAAAGCCAGACTTGAAGTTAGCATCCTGTGGAGACGGCACGACATCTCATGCCAGTATCCGGGCTGTCAGCAGACTCGACAACACTCAGAGAGTGCTCGTCGCCTACGTTTGCGAGGTTTTTCTTCGCATGCCACCAGCAAGGGGTTTTTTCGCTCCGTTTTCAGGTCCGGCGGTGCAAACCCTCCCCAGCGCCTCCCCGGCCCCAGGGAGCGGGCACACCGCGGCCCGGGGCGGCCTCCCGGCTCTTCTCCCGGTCCCCCGCCCCGGCCCACCTCTCGCACCAGGAAAAGCGCATCCCCGCA